TTGGTACTAGGATGCCCCACAAGATACACTGGTGCCCGAAACGTCCGCTGGCAGCATGGGCAGGTCGGGGTGATTGAGCGTTGGCATTGCGGGGTGGGCGCAGTTGAGATTTGTGAGCCTCGGCTTTAGCTCTCGCGACGGTGATGCGGTTGGCTTCGTAGATCGCTGTGCCTGTCTTCATTGTCCTCCTCCAGGTCGATCGGTCTCGGCGAGATCTTTCCAGTTGGCCGGGTTGATTTGCAGAGGCGTCAGGGAAGTCTTCAGAGTGTCCTTGTGATGACAGACTTGGCCTCCTTGTTGCCGGGAACCCGTGGCGAAATTCTCGTAGAAGAGTCGTTTGGCTAGTCGCTCGTCGCCCAGCCGTACGAGGTGGCCGCTCCAACGCAGTTGCAACTGTATCAGCATGGCGTAGATGCTGAGAGTTCCCGTCCACTCCAGTACATCCGTGTCCTGGATCCGGACCTGCCATCTCAGTTTCTGCATTCATCAAAGACAGCTGAGATGGAAATGACTGAGTCTCCGCCCCTGCTTCTCGTACACCATCCAGGCCTCCGCTTCATACAGCACCGTCGGCAGGATGACCGCTTGTACATCTTCAATTTTGTGCTGATGTGGAGACCGTGTCGATTCCAGACGATGTTTCGCAGACGGCCGAGGGCTTGGTTGGTTTTGGAGATCCAGAAGGCCACTTCATCGTCGACTTTATTGTTGCGAGAGGGGTGCTGCCCAGGTAGATGAAGTTGTCCACGACTTGCAGTTAAGTTTCCTTCACGTTGATGTGGGGTGTGACCTCGGCAGCATCGGGTGGCAGTTGACGCATAACCACCGTTTTCTCCGTGTTGATGACCAAGCCGAAGTTGTCGCCAGCAGCGGTGAAGAGATATATGCTCCTTTGCATGTGCCCTTCCAAGGTGATGTTGAGAGCGCAGTCGTTTGCGAAGAGAAGTTCATGGACGGGAATTGTGAGTACATTCGACCGGAAGTGTATCCGCCAGAGGTTAAAGATTTGACTGTCCGTCCTGTGGACGATGAGAATCTCAGGACGTTCGTCACAGTAGGTGTCCATCAGCATGGCGGAGGGCATGAGGCGAGAGGACGCAGCCCCGTTTCACTCCGTTTGTCTCAGCGAATGCCTCTGAGACAGTTCCGTTTTCCGTGACCCGCGCCATCATGCCGTCGTGCAGCTGACGCACCATCTGAGTGAATCGTTCAGAACAGCCGAATTTATGCATGATTTCCCTCAGTCTTTCGCGATTCACCATGTCGAAGGCTTTCGTCAGATCCACGAAGGTGGAGTACAGATGGGTCCGCATCTCCTGGCACTTCTCTTGCAATTGACGGGCGGCAAAGATCTTGTCGGTGGCCTCACGATTACGGCGGAAGCCGCACTGGATTTCCGGCAGGAGACCTTGTTTCAGATGGTGGTTCAGGCGTCTGAGAAGAATGTGAGCAAAGATCTTCCCCAGCTATGTTCAGCAAGGAGATACCTCGGTGGTTGCAACAGAGCTGACGGTTGGCTTTCCGTTTATAGAAATGGGCGGTTGCGGCGTCCTTGAAATTCTGCAAGACTTCTCCTTAACGCCACATCTTCTGGAAGAGCGCCGTCAGATGATCCATGAGTAGAGGGCCACCGTGCTTGTAGGTCTCAGCAGGGATCGCGTCCGATCCGGACGCTTTCCCGCTTAAGAGCTGTTGTACGACCTTGATGGTTTCGTGTAGAGATGGCGCGAGGTCGAGGTCAGCGTTGGTTTTCACTTTAAGCAGAAGGGCGATGGCGGCATCTGAGATGGTGGTGGGACGCCTCTGAAGTGCTCGGCCCATTACTGTAGGGTTTGTGTCTTCTCGGTGATTAGGGTATTTTCATCGGCGCTGAGGAGGGGAGCAGTTCCTTTGGTTGGCGGATCGTGTACAGCCTCGATCGTGGAGAGATTCTTCCATTCGTTGCGACCCGCGTATCCCTGGATCCCCTCGACCTTACGAGCCGTACAAGCGTCTTTCATCTCGCGCAGCCGCTGCTACACAAGGCGGCGACTACGGTAAACGGCTGCTTTGTTATCGTCAGTATGGCGACTGGTGCAGGTTTTGTGCAGTCGGTCCTTCTCCATGAGAAAGTTGCCGATGGCGGCGTCGTTGTCATCAAATCAGTCCTGATGCTGGCGATGTGCGCGACCGAGGACAGCCAAGGCGGTTGACTGGACTGCGCCCCGCAGTTAACACCACCAGTTCTTCGCGGAGGCATTCTCTTGGGTGGCCGCGGCGGCTGCGACTGGAAGGCTGACTAGCTGCTGAGAAACCTCATTGTTGAAATGGAGGTGGCGAACGGGCTGAGATGCTGTAGACGAATCCGAATTTCGGATATGACGAGACGATGGTCGGTCCACCCATCGGCACTCGGCATCGCCTTCTCCACCAACATGTCCTGCTGGTCTCGCCTCCGGACGAGGACATAGTCCAGCAGGTGCCAGTGGCGCGATCGAGGGTGCATCCAGGTGGCCTTATCTCTCATCGGGAGGCGGAAGAAGGTGATGTTCGGGTCTTCCTAGAATTTATCCCTTGTACCATCAGGGCTGATCATCGGCGGGGCGTAGACACTGACGATGGTGGCCAATTTGCCTCCCCGGAGAGGCAGGCGTAGGCTCATCAGGCGATCGTTGACGTCCTTTGGCAGACAGGGCAGTCGTTCCACCACGTCATTTCGGATGGCGAAGGCGACGCCCCTGTCCTCTCGCTCTGCTCTGGGGCGGCCGCTCCAGAAGGTGTAGCCGGCACCCACCTCCTCCAGTTGGCCTCGTTCGGGGGACTGGGTCTCGCTGAGTGCAGTGATGTTCACCTTGTAGAGCGCCAGTTCCGGAGTCACTAGCGCACTCCTCCGTTCCGGTCGGTTCTTCCTCGGACTGTCAAATAGGGAACGAACATTCCAGGCTGCCAGAGTGAGCGGACCTAGCCTACCAACCTGTGGGGTGGGATAGGGGGAGGGAGAAGAGAGAGTGTGCGTTCAATGGTAGGGGGCGCTCACCGATCTCACTTGTTCCGTTGTGCTTTACGGGCTCTCTCTCGAGCCCAACCAGCAGCCGCACAGCGGCGCATGATATAGGTAGTATGTTATTACGGACAAAGACTAGGGAGACTGGAATGGCCATTTCTGGCTCATTAGCCATCGTCAGCCATTCATATCCAACCCCGAAGTGTGGGACACCCAAGGCTCGAAGTCGCGACTCGATCGAAACGAACTGGGCAACGGGCTCGTGGTCCAGCGGTTATAGGCGTGGACTTCTAACTAACAGGTCGCGAGTTCGAGCCTCGGGTATTCCACACTTCGGGGCTGGGTATTACCGGCTGACGATGGATAGTAAGCCGGAAATTGCCATTCCAGCCTTCCTTGTCTTTGTAGGTAATAAGAGCGAGTGTTGTTTCTTGTTTGGTTGTCTCGACCGTACGTTTTGCGTCCGAAACCACGGTCAGCCTGCAAACGGCGTGGATTCCTAGCATTTGTTTAGGGCACCTTTTCTAAACCCTTCCCGCTCGCGGGTGTGAGCAGTGCTCTTCCTAAATAGGGCTGCTCAGTTGTCTCAGACGGCTGCCGGACTCCGCTATGGGCCACGGCCTTTATTTAGTTGGAGGACTACCAGAGTTAGCCTGGGCCCGCCTACGACATTGCCTTAGGACTTGAAGGGGGAAGGGCATGGGAGAAGGGTAGAGAGACGGGAGGCAGAGCTTTCCCGTCGCTCTCCAAGCGAACAAGTTGCTGAAATATAAACGGTGACCTGCACACCTGAATCTGGTGTCAAGACAACCGGATGTGAGGGAGGGCGCAGGTGTCTGGCACGGCCTGACCCGCACCTAAGCAGGCCGCACCCTGCCCTCGCCTCACATGGCCCGGTGTCATCGCAGAGTCCAGAAGGCCAGAGACAAGAGGGGCCACAAGTGGTTGGCACGGCGAAACCCGCACCTATGCGTACCAACATACTCCCTGGTCTACGACGCACACTGGCCAGGACTTTATGCCACAGGAAAAAAAAATCAGAAATGAAAAATTAGAGGAAGAGAAAAGCACAAACACGACGAACACCCTTATTTGTTTGATCTTGTCTACCATGAACGTTTACGGGGGCGTGGCTGCCTCGCTGAGCACAGCTTTGTGAAGAGACAGATGTGGATTGAGTGCCGGGGCGGTACTACATGGAGGTTCGTGATTACTCTTGGTGCGGACCGCCAGTGTATTTAGGGCAGTACGCTACCGTGGTCGCCAGCGAGGCTGCTCACTCATGCCGCCTACAACTCGCCAAGCATTCCTTCAGTCGGATGCTTTCGCAGCGCACAGCTTGACACTGGCATGGCGAGAGCTTGACGCCAACCGGCGTTGTATCCTTCGCTGATTGGCTTCAGGCGGACAACCCAGGCGCACGCACTCACGCACCTCGCGTCGGGGCCAACAATCTGAACGGTAGACACTCGACTGGTGAGAACAGTTGTTTTCACTGCCTGTTGAACCGCTTGTACGCTTTCTCGCTTCACCAAAGGTTGTTCAGATAACTGCCTTCCGTCTTTTGGTTTGTGAACCTCCTATTGTCGACTTTCGTACCTCGACACATTGCCTACAAGTACTTGCTACAACCGTTATGGTGTCTGATATAACTGACCTAAATTGTTTCATGGCAGTATTAGGTTATACAACGAGCATCAAGCGTGAATGACCATAGAGCTTCTGTGTGGGCAACCGCTGACGACACCGCCTGCATTCCGGTCACTTTCCCATGCCCCAAAGAGATCGCCGCTTAACTTAGTCGTGAGTTTGTGCAAATTGGATGTCTGATGGCGAATCAATAGACGCAGTCGCACCTTGGCCATGAGGAGCGTCAGGCTACACAACGATGGTCCTCCGTCAGTAAATATCGCCGAATACGCAGGCTTAGCAGCATTTTAGAACACCTTTTCTGCCCTCCCTCCCCCTCCCCCCCAACAGCAGGGAATAGGTAGTGGTGTTTATTAATCCCATTCGACTCCCTAACTCCACCGAGGGTTTCGATCTGATTAGTCAAAAGACAACCCGAAGTGACTTGGTCCGCTTGCGAAACTGTGTTGCCTTCTCCGTAGGACTTTTAGAGGGGGTGGGACTGTGGTGAGTGCGGGCGGGGATTGCCTTATCTTTTCGCTTCTCCCAGGTTTCTCGATGCTAGATACAAACTGACTGAACTGTTGGGGGAGGAGACGTCTGCGAGTTTTCGGCTGCCGGACGAGGGTGATTCAGATCCATCTACTCTCGTCTTCGACGAACTGCCCATCGAATCAGCCTTTCTGGCACTGTTGTGTGCGATACCGGATTAACGCAGTGCCTCTCTCCTCCCCGTAAACGGCACTGAGGCTCCGACCACTTTCTCACCACACAGAAGACCGGACTGTAAGGAGTAACCGACTCAATCTATGGCGCACCATCACACCCGCCGGAGTGGGCAAACGTGCGCGTTTTTTGGTGCCCATCTTCTTGAAATTTGTTAACTCTGAATACTATGGCTGTCCGAGTAAGGCGAACGAGGATGTTCTCATCTGCGTCCTCAACCTATTTTCTCAGATGCCTAATCTCCCGTCGATTTTCAAGCACGAGGAACTCTCGCTTACTGTTCTTCGACTTTTGACTAACAAACACCCCGTCGTCCAGCAGGCCGCCTTCAATGTGTGGCTCAACTTGTCTCCTAAGGACGTTGCTCCGTACAGGGAAGATTTGGAGAAAATCCTCCCCCTTCAGTCGTTCCGAGAGGCTGTTAGTGTCTTCAAGTTGGACACTTCTGTTGCTCCCAAAGACAGCCCCTACAAACTGATTTCTCCATGTTCAATTGATGGCGAAAATACGGGCGACCGAAGATCCCCTGTGCGAGCGGTGGGTCAGTGCACATTTCTTCGGAGTCAGGACAAGTCCAGGGCGTCTGCGTGATCATCAGCGAGAGCGCCAAATGCCGGCGCGCGTGAACGCACTTGTAGACCGTCCGGAACGATTGCTTGGCCTTAACGACCTCGGGACGCATGTCACTCAGAAGCCTGATACCTGTTGCTGAATGCCTAGACGAGGCCCTTTGGGGCATTTCCTGTGGAGCAAACATCGTAGACGGTAATGCCACCTTTAAAACACATAAGCGCCATCCGTGGCGGCGAGAGAGGCGTAACTATTGGCACTCGGCGGCCCAGGCGTGAAAGTGCTCCATTCCATCTAAGCCGCTGGAATTAAAGTCTCGGGACTTCATCGACTGTGTAGCACACCCGCACCCTCTGGCGGGAGTTTGAAACCCCTTCCTACCTTAATGAACGGACACTCCTATGGACGTTTGCAGTCAGGGCGCAGCCCTAGTCCTATCTGAAACAAAGTCTGGGAAGTATGCCTTATTCCAGCTGCAAACTAAGTGTGACAGAACCATCTGAGCTAGAGGAGCGCAGCCCGTTTACGCCCGACAGAAAGTTCTGTCTGGGTGGGCAGGTGGATGCTGATAGACCGACTCAGCGTGTCAGCAACCAGGTAGGCCGCTGGTCCTGCAGGCAATCTTTTGTCCGGGCTTACGTGCATGCACGGCGAATTCCTAAACGTACCAGCCGTTTGAAAAAAGATCGACTACCTTGAATAGCCAATTCCACGAGAACAAATAAGGCGACTTTTGTTTGCAACTTTATGCGAAAACTAGAATTGATCAGTTGTGGAAACACGAGAATGGCGGAAAAAAAATATAATCAAAGTGGAAATGCTTCAGACGGAGTTGATTGTGACTTGCTGGAATGGAAGATTGAAAGTAATGGGAAAGAGAGAAGGGCGGTGGCGACTTTTCATCGCTATTTATCAAAAGGGGACAGAGCGGGCAACCCAAAAAAGCGGGGCAAATTGCGCCTTGAATGGCGCGGCAAATCCAGTAAGTTTTAAGTTCGTGTAGGCGGACTTTTAACGTTTAAAATTCTACGCAAATAGCGAGACCGATAGAAACTGTTCCTGTGGCAATGCAGTGGAAAAAAAATAAAACGAAGACTGTCAGATGAAATGTAATGACCGCAGAGAAGCAGATGTGGAATGAAATTTGCTTTGTGCTCGTTTGGAGGCGGGAAGACGACCGGGCGCGAAGCTTAAGCCTCGAGGACAGAGAACTTGGCGATCAGATCACGTGTCATTCCTTCGGCCGGCAGTTCTGGGTCCATTTGATCTCCACTGCCCAAGCACTCTCCCGCGTGACCGTTCCTAAAGACGTAACGTCAAGTATTAGGGATTCAATAAAACCTTAACAGCGTCTAGGAATGCATATAATTTGGTCCTTTTACTGAATTCCGCACGACAACGACGACATACCTAGTGACCTTTGGCGACGGGCGATCCCCGGCACGAGTGCCTGTGTCCTCATTAAAAAGGCCCGCTGTTAGAAAATTGGGCAGGTGGGAATGAGACAGAAATGGCGTAAGTAGACCCAAGATTGAAAAGTTAGGCCTTTCAGAACCTAATTCTGGACCACACCCTGCCAGACTTCACCTTGCAAGAAGGCGTCCTGTTCCTTTCTAGGGATATATCATAACTGTGGCTGACTTAAAATGATAACTTCGAACAAAGTTCGAGAGGATGAACCCACAAAATAGTATTCAAGAATACAACAAACCACTGAATTTGGCAGCGATCATCTTCGCCGTGTTAGGAGGGTAGTAGTGTTCGTCGGCCGGCTGCGTCTAAATGGTGATGGGTGAAACGTAAAAAGCCAGTGATAAACAAGGCGCGAAGTAAAACGACTCTAAAGCATGAGTCTGAGGGCAAAACACACACAGTCCTTTTGCAGTTGGCAACAACGAAGTACCGGAAAAAAAAACGAGGGAGTGGACAAGCGTTGGCGAGGCCCTCACCTTTGGAGTTACCTTTTCCTGAGAACCTATGCTACTCCATTGTTCAACGAGACGTTTTGCGGAGCCTGTGGGAGGCAAGACGTCATCAGTTGGAGCACTGGGCTCCGGGCTGGGTTTGTCGTTGTTGTTTAAGAAGTCCTAAAAGTAGGTAGATAAGTGGTAGAAAAGTTGAGCGCAAGAAAGTGTAGTCATCCCACCAGTTCTTTGAGTACCTTGCACAGTAACAATGTACGGGAAATGAAACATTGCGCGTCTTTAGGGAGAGTAGGTGGGCAGATCAGATGGAACAAGAAATTTATTAGTCTGACGTCTCACATTCTCAAACTAACCAGTCTGTTACTGTCTCTAATGCTGAGTTTGAGAGAGAATCCGAAACCTTAGGCCAATAAAGTCCCTGTCCCAGCGATCGCACACTGCATTTCCGAATTGTGCATCCTAATGAAACTCTGGACGGCGTGTTTTCTAGGCCGTCTTGTTCAGGGAAACAACACTTGTCTATTCGGGGGAGAAGGGACAAGAAAGGAGGCCCTAGGATGCAGATTTACCATACTACATAAATGAGCCTGACTGATTGGGTTAACAAACACGGCGTAAACCATGCCAACGGCACCACCCGTCTTCTTCCCCCATATCACCTGTAGAGGCGGGATCAGTCGTTGTAGGATGGGCAAGCGCAATGGTAACGATCTTTTTTTGTTGAAGACCTGCGATGAGAACAATCTCGTAACAAACGCCCCGGCACCGGCCCCCTAACCACAAGAAGACAACATAGATGAATTAACCACGGCACCACCGGCAAGTGCATAATCAGGAGAAAGCATCACCAGGAAGTATCAGGAAAAGGGATGCGCGTGGCTGATGCTGGGTTGATCATCGTCTACTTATATTTAAAATTACAATCCATATCTAGCCATAAAGACGTCTTCGGGAGAGGAAAATTCCAAAGTAGTCCAACATTGATAGTGTTCACACAGATGCTCAATAAAATAATTAATATCATTACAGCTCCGTCGGATAAGGCCATCCCAGCATAAGCTGTACAACGCGTTCTACCGCGCCACCACCACTGGAGTTCCTTTGACCCACGCGCCGACCCTCGGACTGGTTCTATGAGAACGATGAATCACAGCGGCTACTCTGTAGGAACCAACTTCCTGAACTCATGGAAGCGACTGAACGCCTTCGAAATTTGCCATTGATGGATGAAGAACAAGTGGGTAAATCATAATGTAGAGGGAATTTGGGTGTACGCTGATCGGAAGGGAACGAAGTACTTCTTCGAGGCCATCAAGGCAGCCTACGGCACACAGGCGATCGGATATTCGCCTCCTATATAGTCCGATGCGAGAATGCTGTGGCTGACGAATTCGCATATGTATCACCTTCGCAATGCCAAAGAAAAGCCGGCTTCGACAAGGTCATCATTCTGTGGGGATGCCAAGCTGGCATATGCTAAAATACCTGTTCCACAGATCCGCTGCTACCTGTTCCTGCTGTCCCGCGGGTCAGAAATAGGGTACGGGGACACGCCAAAAGTCCAGTTAATAGATGCGTGGACGAAGAGACCATGTCCGCGTGTCCACCTCTCAGAAGTGCAGTGGAGAGTCTAAAGTAGCGGCTACGAAACCTGGTTCCAAATACGCTGCTCCCAACTTGCACTGACATCGCTTCGCTGCCTATCACAACACGCCTGGACCGGTCCACCCGAAATCTAACCACCCAGTAACTATCTCCGGCTCACTGAGACCAACGTCTACGTTGCAAACTCTGTGCACTGATAACATAAATGTAAAGCTAGAAGGGAACTCATCAGTCACCTCACATATCTAACAAAAAAAACCAAACAGTCCGACTGCCATCCAGACTACAAACACGACCTGATTAATTTGGCCATTCTTTAACTACGACGACCAAACTAGTGAGACAAACAAAAAGGATTTACAAACAAGGGGGGACGAATAATCGCTACGGTCCTGAGCAAGGTAGAGAAGGACTTAAAATGCATGCGGGAAAACCAAATTAGGGGGGTTGTGAGCGGGGACACTTGAACTTACAGGAGTTCTGACTTTACCCACTTTTGGGGTATTCATGGCGGTTTGCGAAGGCGGCGAGGGCTCTCCGGTCCGTTGGAACTTAGCAATCATATTTTTTGTGTATTCGGGCTCTGGTAGTTCATCCTCGTTGACGACCGCGTCCGAGTGCTGCACGGTGTCTATATGGATGGAGGTTGAAGATGACATATGGACTATAGCATACAGCGTGCGTTAAATAAGACGCAAGAGGAAACCACCTCTCTATGCACTAACAAGATAAAATGTCCAGAGCTGTTAAGTACTCTGTTCAGAGACGTATAAAAACGGTGGATCATTTGGAAAACGGCTAAAACCTTTTGAGGGTTGTACAAACATATCTCATTTGAAGGAGGCCTTAACTGGTGCTAAGAGCGTGAAAGTACATGCAGTTAAAAGCTTGTATACGGTACAATTGTCTGCTTCAGTTTCACGGTTTCGCTATCCCATAGTGATCCCCTGGGTTTTATCTCGAAGGATGGAAAGCCGTGTACTGAAAGGTCTACGTCCCTTCACAAATTGCTCTTCCCTTACCATTAGTAATTTGATGGCTGCAGGTAACAAGCTAACAAACCACTTCCCGGAATGACAGAAAAACCTCAGAAAGACGAGACCTGTCTTGGTTGTGTGCTACCTAATGTGTCCAAGAATGGCAGGCAATATTTTAAAGCGTGGCTGTCATCGAATTCTCAAGGCCATTGAGGCCGCTGCCTGTAATCTACCTAAGTATATACTTCAGGGCTGTAGTGAAGTCGTAGATTGACCCCATGTCCAATGACCCTTGGACGATTTTCGAATTTCATGAGCGAACCCTCTAACCAATCATATCGGTCTCGTATTGGACTGCATATGTTACTTTTGACGCTCAGTTTGACCGCCTACTAAGTCTGAGTCTTTACCTTCTGCCTGCATTTCAAGCGGTACTGTGCTCGCTCCCAAGGGTCAGCTGACTTTCGAGGGCAGTGTTTGCCAAGGAATATTCGAGCTACTTTTGAGGTGTGGCGGCGAAGAGTATACAAATCGCACCAACTGCGAGTGAAACGATGATGAAACGTCCACCAGCAACATGAAGCAGCACTCCGCCGTGGCACATACGGAGAGAGATCTCCCACAGTCAGAATGACAAGGCGTGGGTGGGAGGGAGAAGTATAGATGGAGTGAGCACCCGCGCGCTGTGGTCAGAATGACTCAATCGGCCCGTCGCGGACACGCGAAATGCGCCAGAAAGAAAGGAGCGCCGGGTGTGTGAACGGACCGCAGTAGGCACGGCCGGCGGTTGGTGAGTAAAATAGAGAAGAGGCAGATTCCACAAACGCGACAGGCCGTCTAGACCTTGCGGGAGATGAACGGGGCTTAACACCAAGCCAGCTCCCGTTTTGTTCCTGCTAACAGATTAAATTCGACCCAATAACGTCCCTCTTGGGCAAACGTTATTTGGTTGATCCACTCCCCGATAACTAGTATGGCAACAACAGTATGCACGCTCTGACTGCAGGCAACTATATGGCGGAAGTCCGGGCACGTCGTTTGTCGCGACCTGAGTCTAAGGTCATGAATGAGGGACTCACTGGATTATGGAGATTTACGGTCTTAAAAGAGGCAGAGTTCCCTAATTATGGTAGAAGTG